CAATGTACGCCCTTCTCCTCCTCCTCCCCCCCTTCCTGCTCCTCGTCCTGTACTTCCTGCCGCGCCGCCCGTCCCTCCCCGGCCCGCCGCTGCTGTCCGTGCTGCTTCCGGGGCCCGTGCGCACCTTCCACGCCAACCCCAACCTGCTCACGCAGTGCCTGTCGGCCATCTCGCGCGCGCACCCCGACGTCTTCGCCCTGTGGCTGGGGCTCACGCGTGTCGTCGTCACGGCCGACCCGGCCGACCTGGTCCACATGTCCTCCGACCCCCGCCTCTTCCCGCGCCCGCCGTGCCTGCGCGCCGTCTTCGACCTCGCCCTCCCCGGCGGCATCTTCTCCATGTCCTACGAGCCGCACCGCGTCGTCCGCGCCGCCCTGCACAAAAACTTTAACCACTCCATGCTCCGCGGCTTCCACCCCGCCATGAAGCGCGCCATGGCCACCCTGTGCGACGCCCTCCACCGCGCCGCCGTCGCAGGCAAGCCCATCGACATCTCCACCCTCCTCTCGTCCACTACCTTCATGGTTATCCTCAACGTGGCCTTCGGCGGCCACTTCTCCTCCGAAGACTGCCTCAAGTTCGCCGCCGACATCGACATCCTCACCGAGGAGCTCATGCAGGAGCACATGCAGTACTCGGTGCGCGCCGCGTTCGAGTGGGCCGGCTCGCGCGCCCGCTTGTTCGCGTGCAAGAAGCGCATCTATGCCACGTGCAACCACTTTGTGCAGCGCCGCCTGGCGGAGACCCGCGCTGAGAAGGAGGCGCGCACGCCAGACATGCTGGACACTATCCTGAGCCTGGACCAGTTCTCGGAACACGTGATGGCCTCGCTTGTCGTGGAGTTCGCCCTCGCAGGCTCATACACCACCAGCCAGACAATCGTGTGGAGCCTGTACGAGACGTGCTACGTGGCACGCGCGCTCGAGGCCGTGCACGAGGAGCTTGCGCGCAAGTTCAGCGGCAAGGGAGCTGACGAGATGCTGTCCTTCGAGGAGGTGGATACCCTTGAGTACGTGCGGAATGTCTGGAAGGAGAGCACACGGCTGCACCCCATCAGCCCGCTGTTGGGGCGCGCGGTGACGGCGGACGTGACGCTCAAGGGGAGCGGGGTGCACCTGCCCAAGGGCACCATAGTGTACGGGAACATCCAGCGCATACACACGCACCCCGACATCTGGAGCAGGGCCGACGAGTTCAGGCCCGAGCGGTGGGGCGGCCGCGGCGTCGAGGCGGAGCGCGTGCCGTTCGGGGCGTATGCGGCGTTTGGCGTAGGGAAGACAAAGTGCGTGGGCAGGTTCCTCGCGGATTATGAGGGCCCGTTTATTATCGCAGAGATGCACAGACGGTTCAAGTTTCGGCTCGCGTGTGGGAAGGACGAGGTGGCCAACCGGTCCAACTTTATCGACCTCCCGCGGTACCTGAATGAGAGCACCGGGCAAGCGGAGGGCATTCCGATGTATGTAGAGCTGCGATGAGCGGGGCTCTGAGGGTGGGGAGGAATAGTTGTGGTTAGGTAAATGGTTTGTCGGAGGATGGTGGGGAGTAGGGTTTTCTGAGACGGGTGCGTAGAGTTGACGCGAAAGGTGGCGAGCGACGGGACGCCAGAATGAAAGCACGACTTCTGTAGGCGACACATGCATTGGAAAGCGAAAAGTGATGTGAGGAATCACATGACATCAACTCTGGTGCTCGGCGTTAAAGGAACAGACATGTCGCGAGAGTAGGTCCACCGGCGCGTGTTGCCGAATGTGGCAAAATCGAGATGACTCTCTCATTCTTTAGAGAGACGGGGCGTAAGGAATCACAGGCGAAGATAAGAAGTGCAGCAGTCTCCTTGAGACGGGTACTTTGAAATGGAGACTGTTTCCGGTTTAATAAGGTACTCAGCCTACATACATACGCTAGAAGGATAGGGTAGCTCATGCCTGTGATGCTTGGAGGTGACCGACAGTCATGGTAAATGTCAGGACCTGCATGTGTACCGTGTACACTTGAATCATCATGATCACAATCCATCCCGTCCCACAACCTGTGCATATTATTGCGGCCCCCAGAAGAGCTCGCCGCGACCCACATTCTCCTGCCCTCCATGCCGCACCGGCGCGCGCAGTCCCCGTGGACATTTCGGAGCACTCTGCCGCGGCGACGTGCAGGGTCATTTTCATCGTGGCGTTCGGCGCGGAGATGTCGCGGGCGGAGCGCTTTGCGTTCGCCGCTGACGTGGAGAGGCTCAACGAGGGGCTGATGCGCAAGTGCTTGCACATGCCGGTGCGCGCGCGACGCTGTTCGAGGTGAGCCGGCCGCCGGCTGCGCGGCAAGTGCGCGGGGCTGATCTGCGCAAGGCGCCGGGAGACGCACGCGCGGAGGGCGGCGCGGCCGGCAGACATATTGGACGCGTTGCTGGCGCAGAGGGACACAACGGAGGAGGCGCTCGTGTCCATGGAGATGGAATTCGCCTTCGCCGGATCGCACACGAACAGCCAGACGCTGGCGTGGTGCGTCTACGAGGTGGGCCGGTCACGTACGGTGGCGGACGGTCTCGTCGCCGAGCTGCGGCGCCAGGTGTGGGATGGGGCAGGACAGCAGATGCTGACGCAAGAGCAGGTGCGGCGGC